GATCTCGGCTCACCGCAACCTCCACCTCCCGGGTTCAGGCAATTCTCCTGCCTCAGCCTCCTGAGTAGCTGGGATTACAGGCACATGCCACCATGCCCAGCTAATTTTCTGTATTTTTAGTAGAGAAGGGGTTTCACCATGTTGACCAGGATGGTCTCGATCTCTTGACCTCGTGATCCACCCACCTCGGCCTCCCAAAGTGCTGGGATTACAGGCTTGAGCCACCGCGCCCGGCTTTACTATTATTTTTAATAGAGAACTTATCACCGACATACTATTTATTTTATACATGTGTTTATTTCTTGTCTCCCCCTTCTAGAATATGAATTTCTTTATTGCTGTATATCTAGAGCCTTGAACAGTACCTGGCACTCAGTAGGGTGGTACTACTCAGCAAATATTTGTGGAGCGAAGGGATGAATGCTTATGGCTGACAAGTGTCAGATCTGTCTCACCCTTAGCACTGATCTGATGGTGATAAAAATACGTACCAGTCTGTGAGCTTCCACCTCAGACCCCACACATCTGATAAAGATAGGTCAGTCTCACGTTGGAGAGGGACTGGGTGCATCTGGGATAAACCCACCCAAGAGCATCCCAAGGCTCAGGACTGCCTGGATCTACACACAACCCTCAGCGTCGGCTGCTGTTGCGAAATTCTCCCAGGCACCTCCCACACCTCCCATCCCTCAGCCCAGGAGAGTCATGTCTTACCTTGCCATGTGTCATTTCTTGTTTTTTTCTTAATGGTACTCGCTGGGCCAGACCAAGGGAGGACACACTTCCTTCATCTGAGTGAGTGACAACCTCATGTTCTCCTTTAGGAAGAGAGAAAGCTAGGAAGAAACAGGACATTTGTTGTAGAGTCTAGAACACCCACCAAAGTTTGGCACAGGGTTCTGCAACTTCTGAAGAGGGTATACTAGTTTAATAGCCCCCATTGCACTATTAGGGGCAGGAACCCATCCAGCAGTCCCTCAACACCCAACACTATCTCAGTAAACACTTATTAATCTGAATGTCTGTGTAGGCTGGGATTGTGGTGATGGCACTTAGGGACTGAGGATAAACAGCGAGTGGAAGATAAATCTTGCAGGAAGTAGCAGAGAGAGGGCAGAAATGGAGACCATCTCCTTTGACACAAGTGAAACTGTGCCAACTTCTGGCTCATCTAGAAAGTCTCTTCTCCTTCTCCTTCTGACCTAGCCTCCCACCTCCCACTTCCTCGTGCCCTCTCCCAGCCTGCTGAGCTTTCTCTGGTCTTGTTCCCTGCTTCAGGCAGCCCACCTACCGCTGTGCTCTCCCCACAGCCAGACACACTCACCAGGCTGGACTGGGGTCTCCAGGAGCAATCCTGAGGCCTGGCTCACGGAAGTCCTGATGACAATAAGGACAGCAGCCAGCAGTCACTGAGTACCAAGCATAAGCTGCGCATGTGCTAAGTGCTTTACAAACATCGTCTGATTTCATTCTCATGACAACCTCTAATGATGGTACAAATGTTATTATCACTTGACAAAGAAACCAAAGCTCAGAGAGGTGAAGACAAGCTTGCACAACTAGTAAAAGTGGTAAGAGTTAGGATTTAAGCCCAAATCCCATTTATTGCCACAGTCTATACTCTAGCCACTAAACAAAAGAGATTTTTGTCCTACCTGTCCCCCCATGACTTGAGGAAACTGATGTCACACTGAGGCCTGGCTGTGAAGGCCTGAACCCTATTCCAAGAGCTCATCCCAGGCAGTCATAGGTTCCTTGCTTCCCCTCCTGAGTTGGTGGGGAGTCCTAAAGCTACTAGAAGGCCCCAACTCTGGGGGAGTCCTGTATCAGACACTGGTTCATTCTTTTCCAGATAACCTTCTCCCACACCCTCTCCTTTCTCACCGGCTGCTGCCAGCTGCCTCCCTTCTTAGCTCCTGGAAACTGGGGCGAGTGGAAGGGTGAAAGGAAGGTCCTGAAGGTGAAATCTGATCCACAGGAGCAAGAGATGAAAGCAGAATCAGAGGTGGACCCCAAACCCTCAGGCTTCACCACCAACCCCATCTCCCCGCATAGGATCCCTTGCCTCATCATGAGGTACCTCCTCTCCCAGAGCCCAGCTTTGTCCCTGGAAGAAGCTCCCAGAACCACCAAGTATCAATCCCTCAAGGGCACTCACCAGAGCCTGTAGCCTCTGGGGGCACAAAGTCTGGCCTCGAGGTCCTGGTCCCTCCAGCCTTGAGAAGCAGGAAGCCCTGGCAGGGTCCAGTCGGTGGGTGGGCGTTCTGGGGGCCAAATATGCAGAGGCCCGAACACCCTGGGACACCAACAGGGACCATGAGCACAGCTCAGGATGTCCCCCTCAGCGCCCCCCAGCCTGGTCCCCTCACATCCTGTTTCATTACCTGGCCCCTCTGGGTGGTGCGTCCCTGATTTCCTCGAATCAGTACTCTCTTAGCCAGACTAGGCTGGCGCCCCAGGTGACAGCTCTTCACACCCTCACCTGACAGGATGGTGGCCAGGGCTGCGGGATCAGCCACAAACTCTATGGCCCCTGGAGCCTCTGCAAGGAAAGAGGAGAAGGAAAGGTGAGAAGGAACAGGAAGGAGGAAGGCTGAGGGCAGAGGCACCCTAGCAAAGTCACCTTGATTTTGGCCTTTTTTTTTTTTTTAGAAATAGATGGCTGGGTGCAGTGGCTCATGCCTGTAATCCCAGCACTTTGGGAGGCCAAAGCAGGCAGATCACCTGAGTTCAGGAGTTCAAGACCAGCCTGGCCAACATGGTGAAACC